TCAGACTTACTCCTCCCTGAAAGGTTTCAGTAAATCACAAATAAGCTTTTGTTTTTCTACCTTTGGTTAAAATGCTGCAGTATATGAGTATAGGGCAGATTTTCCGCTTCTAGAAAGCTTCACACCAAAGTACACCAAATATTTTCTTAGATTCTTTATAAAAAGGAAAGCAGTATTTAACCCATAAATATTATCTTCACCATGGCGTGTGTAGAAAAATTTCAATATTTTCTGCACAGATGTTATTAAAGTCATATGAGGCAGAAATAACATCGTTTGCTTCCATTCTATTTCATAGGGCTGAATGTACAGATCACTAGAAGGTAGACACACCACAAAAGGTAAGCTCTCATTGGTGGAATCAGAAGTTTTTAAAAATATTTGAATTTTCAAGTAACTCAGGGCTAGGGGGTGTAGCTCAGTGGGCGACCGACCACTTATCTAGCACCGAGTCCCTGGGTTCAATCCCCTGCATGCATAAATCAGTAAGTAAAGTAAGGAAGGAAGTTGCTCCAAGCCTGAATGACAACTTATCCTTGCCTTAGATAAGTTTTCTTGCTACATTTAGTGTATACCGGGCAGGTCAGGCAAACTCGCTTGCTCAAGTTTCTCTGGTTTTATTTTCATATGAGTCCAGTTTCATGTGAGTGTGGTTTCCTTTAAAACACTAGCAATCCCATTTAAAACACTCTTACTCATCATCTACATTTAATAAGATTTTCCTAAAATTATCTGTTCTGAGGAAAATAGGTGTTAAAGAAGTCAGTTAAATATACATGAATCAGAAAATGTAAATAAATCAACAAAAGGTACCGATATACATCTCACAGAATGTCAACATGAGAAAGACTAATAGCACAAATGTCAGCAAGGATACACAATAACTAAGCTGATACCTCGCTGGTGGGTGTGTAAAATAGTACAACCATTTAGAATCGGGTCCAGAAGCTTCTCCTACAGACAAGCCTACCCTTTCCCCATTTCCTCAATGACCCAGCAAATCTACTCCTACATTATTATTCTAAGAGAATTAAATCATATATTCACATAACAATTCTAACGAGAAGATTCATTACAACTTCACTACAACTGACAACTAGCCAAAAACTAAAATTGACCAAAATGTCCAAAAATAAGAGAATGGAAAATACATTTTGTCATAGTCATACAACAGTAGTAGTATTCCTATATGCCAAATATTACTCAGCAATAAAATGAAACACACTATTTATAGATAGAACAACATGAATGACTCACTGACACGCTGAATAAAAGAAGCCGTACACACAGAAAAGTGCATAGTATATGATTCCACTTGCAATAAGCAAAACAAACTGATGGTTCTAGAACTTAGAAACTTCTAGGGGAGCATACTTTCTCAAAAAGGGATATGAGGGGACTCCTGGGATGCAAGAAATCATCTAAGAGAACTGTGTCACATGGATGTGCGTATTTTGCCAAAAATCATCAAATTGTATACTTGAGATTTACGAATTTCACTGCTAAGTAAATGTTGTATTAAAATTACAGCATTAATACTCTAAAATTATAGATTATACTCGAGTTAGTTGGTTTGCTTATTGTGGTAGTATGAATAAGCAATTTTGAAACTATTTAGTCTTCAGCAAATGAGTAAACACATTGAGGGTGGTGGGAGTTAGGTTCCTGTATAACACAGAAGGCAGGTGGGAGCAGTCAGAGTCTCTTCATCACAGTACTTTCTAACCATACCAAACAAATCTGCCTATGCCTCTGAAAAAGCAAAGGAAGTTGGACTAATACAGAAAGGAAAAAGACTAGGATGAACCTGAGATATTGGACTGAACTGGAGATATCCATATGAGCACATGGTTTTGATTGGATACTAAAAGAAAAAAATATTATGTGCACATGCTTTTGCATGTGTGAGTTTTATGAACTATATCATGTATATATTTACATATTATATTAAGTGTGCAGATATATTTTTTGCCTCTGTTGAAAGGCCTACAGGCAATGGTACACTTGTAGCAATGAGCACACTTAATATCCACATCTTGGCTTCTAAGTACCTCATCCTGTAAAAAGAACCAGAGCTCCAAAAAGGGGGAATGGGTAAGGAGAGGGAGGGAGTCAGAGAGGGGAAGGGAGGTTGGCTGATTGTAGGACTGGGTCAAGAAAAAACATAATGACCTCAAGGCTCTGTTTTCCCATGGAAACTAAGTAAGTCCTCAAATAATCATGGAGACAAATTAAACAGAAAGAAGACCTAGTTTGACTGTACTCCCATTCGCTAAATCAAGAGCAATATAAACATCAAAATGTCAATAATGAACTATGACCCACTGAAGAGAAATCCCAAAGTCCACAGTGATATGAACAACAAAGGACAAATGACTAAGAAAAGAAAGTGCAGTAGACCAGCTAATAACAGAAATTACAGAATTATGGTGGGTACCAAAACAGTGGGTGACAGTTCTATGCGATTGAGGATATTTACATAGTATCAAAGTATCTGCCCATAAATTACTTAAGCTGGCCAAAGAGAAAATGCTAAGTTCATATTGGAGAAAGTTGGCCGGCACCGCCTTAAACAAGTTTTCACTGTTAACATCACAACATTGAAACAAACTAACAGCACTCACTTCCTGATGAACTGAGAAGAGCAGGACGTCACTTTGGTGTCCCTGCCACAAGTACAAGACCTGAATGCAATCAGGAGGAAACATCAGGATGAGCGTTCTATAAACTACTGCAGCTTCTCTTCAAAAATACACAGGTGGAGAAAGTAAAAGGAAAAGTCTTAAAGGGCATCCCAGAATATAGAAGTCAAAAGAGACATGAGAACAAAGTGTTGTGCATGATCCTGAATTCTGGATGAGGAACAAAAAGGTAGCTTTAAAAGTAGTTATCGAAGTAACTATTGAAATTTAAATATGGACATGACAATAGGTAGTATCTATTGTCATCAGATGCTACTGTCTTGATTTTGGTAAATGTCTTGGCTATGTAGGAGAATGTATTTGTTCATAAGAAATATACAGGATATATTTATAAGGTGTGATATCTTGAACCCTTTCTCAAATGACTAAGAAAGAAATGGTAAAGGGAAAGAGAAAAAGTGGGAAGATTACATATGGATGATAAAAGTAAATGAGACAAAATGTAACCAATTAATGAAGCAGATAAGTAGAATGTGGGAATTCTTTGCATTACTTTTGTAATATTTCTCTAGGTTTGGAGTTGTATCTAAATAAAAACTACCACCCAAATCCACATTAAAACACAGAAAATTTGTATATGGCCTATAGGTATCATTCCAACAAAATGCTAATGAGTTTTCTGAAAGACAGATTCCACGACCTCATGAACATGTTCATTATGAGCCCTCTTTGAAGAAAGGAGCCCCAATGCACTTTAATAATGCAGTCTATTTAACTGGATCTAATCTAACACTTCCACAGTATTCTGCATGGGAAATCTTGTAAAATGGAATGCTCACTAAAATCTAATGAAAATATATCCATTCTATGGAAAACAGTTGGAGAATCACTTGTCTAGAAGATCCACTTCCTATACACAGCTAATTTTTAAAAGATTTGTTGTAGGAAAATGAAAGAGAGGAAGAGAGAAAGATACACATTCACAACAGAAGTGCTCTCAGCTTCAAAGAGCAAGAGAAAAATGACACATATCTAAAAAAAGACATCTATCTAGCAGAGCCCAGCCAAGTCCAGTGAGTACATTCTTGAGGATACCTGGTCATCACTCTTACCCATGGGGACAGGCTTCAGGACCCTCAGAGATACCAAAATTCATAAATGTTTAACTTCCTTACACAAAATGACATAGTATCTGCATATGATCTACATGGATTCTCCCACATTCTTCAACACATCTCTATTGTTTACAAAACCTAACACAATGCAAATATGAAGTCAACACTTGTTACACTGTATTGTTTCAGAAATAATGACGAGAATTGTAAAAGTCTGTACCTGCCCAGTACAGATGGTTTTCTTTCCCTCAAACATTTTTAATCACACTTGGTTGAATTTACACACATAGAGTCCACAAACATGGAGGATGACTATACTGTTAAAGAGGACAGACAGTCCATAAACTGAGTTTTAGTTTTATTCAGTCATTACATTAAGCATGCTGTGCTTTGTGCGATTTTAAATCTGACTCTTTCAATGAACTGGACAATGGAAGAGCGCACAGGCCTTAATGAGTAAGGCAAGCACTGTGCTAGGCTCAGAGATGCAATGATGAGCACGATGCCGCTCTTGCCATCCGTATACTCTCATGTCAATGAGGGAGGCAGAAAAGTGAGAACTGCAGTGTCCAGGATGAAATATCAGAGGCTGTGGATAAGGCTCAGTAGGAGTGGAGTGCATGGGTAGCATGCTAGAAACCCCAGGCTCAACTCCCAGTGCTGAGTCAGATATGAGAGACAGAGAGAGAGAACGTGACTTTATGGAAACAAGAAAGAGCACTTAACTCAGGCAGAGAGGGATCAGGAAAATTTTCCTTGAGGAGACAATATTTAAGCTAAAATAATACGTGCTAAATTTCTTTGGGAAAGTATTCAAAAAACTTTTAAATTTCATTTTACTTATCCAAAATTACATTGTGTTCCTATATGGTATCACTGCTACGAATGGAAGGAAGAAAAGAAGGAAGGAAGGGGGGGAGGGGTGGAAGGAGGGAGGGAGAAGAAATAAAGAAAGAGAAATAAAAAAGAAAGAAAAAGAAGTGAAAAAAGAAAAAGAAAAAAGAAAAGATATTCATTAGCTATTAAGTTTAGGTGCCTTTAAAAATCCAAGAAAGACTAGAACAGTGAGGTTATTTTGCCCCAAAACAACCATATCCAATACTTGCGGGCTCCACTAGACACACCTAGCATTTCAAATGCAGGAGTAAGATAACTGGGAGAGAAAAAACACAGACAAAACCAAACTGAAACAAATCAGAAACAGAACAGTGTGAGAAGACAAGAAGTGCTAAGTACTGTTTACCTGTCAGTTGACATTGATTAATCTTGTGTTCTGTGATATCGCTCAGTGATTCAAACACCTGGAGGCAGCTGTCACAGCTGTGTACAGCTTCTTCTAACTCCTCCCCGTCTTCCGGCCTCTTCTTACAATCTATTGCCTCTCCATCTTCAGTCTTGTCTTCAAGTTTACAGTTGGGGTCTGCAAGAAAAATCAAGACTATAAGTACTGTGTTTAAAGACAGGTTCTTTTAAAGCAACACTTAATCTTCTTGCTACCAAAAACAGAAACATCATTTTCCTCGAAGCTGCAGTAGGAAGGCTTCCTTGCAGATTTTAATACAGAAGGATCAGAAGTGAGCCTTCCCTAAAATTTGTCAGTTTTTGATTATTAAATGAGTCCTTCCCTTTCCCCTACTATGCAGGCCTTTTCCTAGCTCTCTCTTCAAATAATGTGTCCGCCCTTACAAATAAATTTGTCATTTTTTCATAGTCTTTTAGGAGCTTTTGCTTAAAAAGGAGAGATAAATCAACTTTAAAATGAAACAGTCTCCAAAGCACAGGAAAAAAAATTCACTGTGCTTAAGAATGAACTTCTTTTCTGCTAAATACACTCTTCCATGGGAAATTATGAGAATTAGACAAAAAGTCTAGAATAAACTAAGCTAATTATAATTACCATAGGCACCAAATTGACCTTTACTTACAAACTGGTCAAAGCACACAGTTACTCTATTATTTGTTAGACAACAATAGCAAAACAAGCTCTACCACACAGTAAAACATTCTTACAACCCCAAACTCAAGAGTGAATGTCCTCTGTTTACAAAATTATCTGAGAAAACAAGAAAGAAAATATATTAAGAGAAACTTTAAATCATAATCCAATCAACAGCTTGAATTGTCGTTATTAATGCTGAAAAGCTAACAGCTGTGAAAACTGAAAATAGTTCCACTTTAACCCCAAGAATGATATACAAACAGTGGGGGAAATAAAAGAGTAAAGCACATATAATGCTTTTACTTAGAGTTCAATAAATATTTTTTGATTTCTTATGCTGTTCTTTGATTCATTTTAGAGATGTACCCCTAAAGCCCAGTGTCTTTGCCCTCCTGCAGAAAAACAAGGGGCTGGGGGTGCTGGGGGTGGGGGGCAGGAGGGAGAGAGAGAATGTGCCTCTTTAGATAAATGAGGATCACCCAGTTGGTGGAGTATCATCTAATTTGTAGAGTATCAATTTCTAATAGCAAGAAGTCCCCCAAAATCAGAAATAAATTATGTCTCATATCAAACCAGAGATTTCTATTTTCTATAAGACACTGACACATCAATGGAATATTGACAAAAGCACTGTATCAAAACACCTAAGAAATATGTAATGCATCATCTATACTCACATCTTCAACATGACTATATTAATTTTAATATGGCTATATCTGATAGTTTAAATATACAGATATTTAATATTTTAAATGTTTCACTAACTATTTGAAATGTCACAGACAAGAATCCACACAATGAAAATTATCCAAATATTTCTTAGAAAATTCCATAATGCTACCGCCTCAACCTCCTGCTGTCAGAAATTGCTTCCTGCTACTCTTCCTGCTACGCTGTGACACACTGCTAGAAACCCTAGTTCTACAACCGCCTTACACACCCTTTCTCATCTGACAGTTGCTCCAAAGCCTTTCTTTGCATTTACAAGAGAGGTAACTATGTCATCACCCTTGAAATGATTTAGGCATGCCCAAATCCACTTACATTCCAACCTATAAAATAATCTCTCAAGTTCATGAAAAAAGGCAGAATCCCCATCTCAAAGAGAAAGTTGTTTGTTTGTTTATTTGTTTTTTAAAGAACATGGTATTTAAGTAAATTGGTAATTTAGGTTGATTTAACCATCTGAAAAATTATTGTCTCAAAACTCTTCCTAGGCCAGGGATTTAGCTCAGTGGTTCCCTCGCCTGCCTCGCAAGCGCAAGGAACTGAGTTTGATCTCTGGTACAAAAAAAACCCAACTCTTCCCAGTGCCCATTTCCATATACTGGAATTTAGAGGGCTCACTCCTAGGGGAGTAATAACGGTATCTTTCTTGTTTGTCTCGTACTTTGCCCAATACAGTGCCACCAGCAGGTGAGTGCTTAGGAAGCATTATTTAAAGATGGTGAGAAGGAAAGGGAAAAAAATGACAGTGGCTAAAAAGTGTCCTTTACTGGTATGTTTTTTGGTAAATAGGAAAAGACTAGCTACCTCCAAATGAAAAAGCATCTGCATGTCTGCATTTTCCAAAATTGACACTATATGTATGACCCACCACACTTGAGCTTCCTGCTTTCAAATGTTTTGTCTAGAGCTACAGACACAACAGGCGGGTAGTGGTCCCAAGATCTCCCACAAACTAAACCAAGTGGTAAAACGCTGCCAAACCAGAAAGCAACTGAAGACAATGGATAACTGTCCTGACAATGACAGAGTGACCCCGTGCCACTAAATGCTTGTTGGGAGGCAGCACGCACACACTGAATATTCTTCGTTGTTTAGCATGAGTTTCCAGTTTCTCAAAAAACTGACAGCACTCCGGGAAACATGGGTGTTAGGTCTGAATTTTAATATGATTATTTAAATGCTACACAGCAAGTTTGCAGACCTGTTTGTTTTTAAATAAGGAGACTCTTAGAATACTCTAGGTAGTTTGCAGAGAAAAATGATAAAAACTCACCTTCCTTATTATTCAAGCATATGAGGACTTTGCACAAATCCAGTATCAAAAATACCAAACAAGTAAGAATGTGTGATATTTTTGCTCTTAAAAGCTAAAGAATGGCCCTAGCCCGTGCTTCTGGCACTAGGGCTAGTTATTAGAATAAGGGTCATTTTAAGACTAATAAAAATGTTTTCGCTTCCACTTCTGCATTTACAGATAGAACCCTTCAGGGACTGAAGTCAGTCAAGCTTATTCACTTCTGCTGCAACTTTAGGATGCATGCTCCAGCCAACTGGCGAATTTGTTTTTAGGTCAACACTTAAGAGGGACCCTCTGGGAGGTGGGTTCGATTATCGCCAATGATGCCTTAGTGTAATGAGTACTAGACTCTCAGTCTCTCTCCCTGCAAGATTTTTCCAACCTCTACTTTCAGGAGAAATTCTTTCTTTCCCATTCAAAAGATGTGTTTATTTGTGTGAGGGGTTTCCATTCCTAATGCTAGTTGACGCAGGAAGATTCTAGAAAGCTTACGTTGTCAACCATTTCTTCCCCACAGGTGGCTACACTTCAGTAATTGCACATGGCCTTAGTGATGTAGTTTTTATAAAGTCCTTTGAGAACCAATCATAAAAAATAATTGTATTACTCTGCTAGCCATTCAAACCTCTGACTTCAACCTAAGGGGTTATAAACACAAGGTCCATGCCTGTGAGCACCACCCTGCTCCCCCACTGCTGCAAGAGGGACAATTATTCTCCCAACCACACTGCTGGCTATAAACCCACTCCAAGGGCAGTATTTTAAAATATCCCCCTGTCCCCTACACTGCAGCTGGAAATCACAGCAGAGCCGGACAGAGGACACCACTCACATCCACACCGTAAACAATGCCACCTAAACATGTTGCATCCACTACAAGTGACTTCACCTCTTCAGCCAACTTCCCAGTTCATCCCTTTGAAGGGTACTATGGATGCAGGATTTATAGAGTCCTGACCTGAATAAGAGGCTGCATTTGAGAATACCAACACAACTATTATTACTGCAATAAAAAGCAGAATTCTGTTTCCAATTTTGTTAACATTACCTATAAATGAGAATTTAAAAGAGGCATAATTTTCCCCTTATTATATTCTGTGGCAGGTAGTTCTTTCCTTCTTCTCATCCTCCTCTTCATAAGATTTGTTATTGCTTTAACTTGGTTTAATAAAATTACAACTTTGGGGAAAATGAAAAATTGCACTGGCTTAAAAGTGTTGGAGGCAATAAACTCATGGACTTCAATTAATTTCAAGTGTGGGATCAGTTTAAGGCCAACCAGCAGAAATTCTATTCTGTCCATGTAAAAATGAGGTTTCACCACATTTACTTTTTATAACCTATATAAAAGTCAAGTAAAAGTAATGAATATCTAAAAGCCATCTCAGTGGACTGGCAAAGACTATCTGTATTCTTGAAACTCATCTTACATATTTCTCTCTTTGCAACAAGGATCCCATGCCTGATCAAAGCTAAAATGTCAAACTACTGAGAAAACAGCCCAATTTCCAATCCATTTCACTGCCTAGAAATGGACCTCCTTCCAAGCCACTTTTGCATGGAAAAGCACTGGCAAAAGAAAGAAAAACTAAGAGATCATGTGGTTATAATTATTACCAGGCAAGGAATATTTCTGCAGCTCAGTGGTAAAGTAAAACTCTGTCGCTCTCTGCTCCCAATAGTGTCCATCGCAAAACAACTGCCTCATTAAATCTCTGCAGTAAGATTAATATGCCGTAGCTGCACTACATTTATAACTTGGTACTCTATAAAAAGCACATTTAATGGTAAGAGCCAGAGCCTAGATACAAAGTATTACTATAAAAACTTCTGGCAGTGAATGCATAGTGCAGGCCTCCCCTTCTTGCAGCTGATATAAACGAGGCTTTTCCTGGTAAATTTCAAGCATGAAGCCCTACCTTAAAAACCAGGCTCAGTTTTTATGAGAGTGGCAGAAACACAAGATTCTGAGGATGATGTAAATATGAATGCAAGAAGATTACTTAACAACTAAGACTGGCAAGAGATGAATGAACCCAAAATACTTACACACGCATGCAAACTTAAAACAGGAATGTTTCCTAACAGTTTGTTCTCTGGTTGTAGCCAGCTTTTCACCAAATTAAACAACCATGGCATGAATTACTCAATCTTAAATCAAACAACACTGTGCCAAGTGAGTTCAAGAAACTACCAACTAGAAATACCCATTGCTTAAAAAAAAAAATACAAGGCTTGATTTTATTATAACAACCATGACTTCCTGGATTTTAATTACCTAATCACCTTCCTTCATATCTTTGGAATAAAAATATTCCAAAAAGTGTCCCCAATACTAGATTGCTACTGGAATAGCAATAATGGTTTTGTTACTTTAGAAAGTGTGTAAGAGTATCTTCTTTAAAAGAAAAATACAAACCCAGTGTTTTAGACTGAGGAACACTCTGCTAATTAAG